ACAGCAATGAACAAAACAAACAAAAATCTCTATCATCATGAGATTGGTTATCTAGTGAGGAGATGTAGACAATAATAAGAAATAGCATATTCTACATTAGAATGTTGTAGCTGCTATGAACAACAAAAAAAGAAGGTTCCTGGGAATGTAGGGGACAGGTTGGTGATATATAAATGGGATGGTCAGAGTCAGCTCATGGAGAAGGTGGCATATAAGTAAAGAAGGAGGTGAAGGAAGGAGATGTGCAAGTGTCTGAGAAAGGAGTATTGCCTCTAGTTCAAGAGCCTAGAGGCAGGAGCATACCTGGTACATGTGGCGAGGTTACAGAATAGGAGATGCCATCAGAGGTTTAATGGGGTCCAGGTCACTTGTAATGACTTTGGCTTCCTTTAGAAATAAATAGAGCCCATAGAGCATTTGAGCAGGGGATCACTCTGGCTGCCATGTTGAGAATAATTAGGGGTTAAGACTGGGAGTAGGGAGGCTAGCCCAGTAGAAGGCAGCTTGGGCAAGGTGATAGCAGTGGAGGTGGTGGGAAGTTGTTCAGAGTCTGGATAGATTTGGAAGACAGCCAATTTGCTGAGAGCCTGAACATGGAGTTTAAGAAATAGAATTGCCAAGGATGACTTCAAGGTTTTTAGCCTGACCAACTAGAAGGACAAAGTTACCATTAACTGAAGTGGGAAAAGTAGAGTTGAAGCAGAGGCTAGGACACGTGAAGTTCAATAAAAATGTCAGACATTTGAGGGGTGCCAGGAGGCAGTGGGAGATGTAAGTCCGAAATCTGGGAAAGAGCCTGGGCCAAGGATATAAAATGGGGAATCACTTCTATAGAGATATTTTAAAGCTAGCCCACTGGATAAGATCACCAAAGAAGTACAGACTGGAAAAAGAAGATATCTAAGGAGAGCCCTGGGACCCACTAACAAGAGAGGGAGAAGAAAGGAGAACCAGCAAATAGACAAAGAAGGAACTGCCAATGAAGAATGATGGCAGCCAAAAGGGTGTTGTGCCCTTGAAGCCTAGTAAATTATTTCAGAAGGAAGAGGTGATAAGCATGTCAAACACTATCTGATAGGGAGAGTGGAGTACTCATTTAGCAAGGTGAAAGTCAGTGATGATCTGGACATGACCGGTGTAGGGGGGAGGTGTGAGCCCAATGAGTTTAAAATTTTTTTTAACATTTATTCCTTTTTTGAGACAGAGAGAGACAGTGTGAGCAGGGGGAAGGACAGAATCCGAAGCAGGCTCCAGGCTCTGAGCTGTCAGCACAGAGTCCAACGCGGGGCTCAAACTCATGAACCGTGAGATCGCGACCCTAGCCGAAGTCAGACACTCAACCAACTGAGCCACCCAGGTGCCCCGTGAGCCCAGTGAGTTTAATGATAAGAGGCAAGAACTGGAGCAGTTTCCTCTTTCAAAGGTAAGCAGAGACGTGCAGCATAACTGGAACAGTTAAGATACTTTTTGCTTTAAAAATGGGAGAAATAAGAGCATGATTGAATGCTAAAGGGTTTGCCCCAGTTGGAAAATGTGATAATAAGGAGAGGGTGACCTAGTGCTAAATGGAAACAACCCACTTAGACAGAAACACACACAGTATCGAGCAACAGTCCTTTACAAAGTAGATCCCACTGTCTTCAGATGAACAGCTTTACATACACGAGGAGGGAACACAACACACTCTGTTTTCCTGCTAAGAATTAAGAGAATTTTAATGCTACTACCTCTGAAGGGAATGAGGGAAGAAGGCGGAAGGGGGAATCTATTTTACAGATAAGAAACATGTTTAGATGACTTACCGAGATCATGTATAAGCTCTTTGAAAACAACAAGTTTTGGAAAACAAGTTATTTGGGTAGAAAGCTCTTGACTATTTTGCATGTCTGACAGCCTCCAAAAACAACATCTTCAGCACTGCCCAAATCATATCCCATATTTTTATACATATGTTTAAAACTTAGGTCTAGCATCACACACCAATTTCTATTTTTTCCCTTAAAATATATAGGTTTCCATCAATTTCCTCAACCTTTTTTTTTTTTAAACTCATTTCCCTTTTTGAAGAAGTGTATCTCCTCTTCCTTTTCCCTCACCCCCTCCCCGCCATGTGAGACTCACTGGCCTATATTCCATAAATGCCAAGATGCCCGGATGCTGAGAACACTACACTTACATCTTTAAGTTAAATCAACTTTCAGGATATGAGAATCCAAAGTGTCCCCAATTACTGTTTTAGGCTCAGGAAGAAAATTATTAATGGTGATGTTTCAAGAGAAAGTTTAGTCTGAAAACTGTATCTAATTTTATTACACAACTTAACAGAAGACATTCATTTTACCATTTTTCTAAGTGCATGCAATTATCTAGAATATACAATCAACTTTACCAATTTATTACAAAGAACACTAATCCTGTATATATGTATATTTTAACCAAAATTTTACTGTATGTGATAGTAAAGATCACAGATGAATTTAAGAAAACCTCAGAAAGAGTCACTCTACCAGCTTTCTGTATCTCAAGGTAAATATAATCAATTCTCTATTCTGTACTAAACTTCCATCTATGGCTAGAATCTGAGTGCTGATTACATACTAGATCATCCAATTTATTGGTCTAAGAGGTAATGGCTATACAATTTCAGTGGGCCAAAGAATCACCTGGGTGCATTTAAAATGCAGATACCTGGGCCCCACTCTCAAATTTATTCCAATAAAGTGGGACTGAACTAGTCGCCAGGAATCTGAATTTTTACAAGTTGTCTCATGGAGAAAGTAAAGTGTTAGTAAAGACTTGAAGAAGGTAAGTGAACGAGTCGTGAGGTGCTATAGAAAGTACTATTCAAAGAGTTCTCCCTGAGCAAGGAAGAAACATTCTAATGGCAAGCCCCAGATAGGTTTCAACTATTTGTCATAGGGCGAAACAGAGGACCCTGGAGTGCTGGTCCACACATTCCTGGTTCTCCAAGCTTCCAGTTTTAGAGTCAGTAAAGTGGGGCAAATCCTTGTTTAGGCTTGTATATAGACCACACCCAGCTACAGAAGGGAACTGCTGGCCCTCCCAGCCTGTGCAGAAATACCCAACTCATCTTTTGGTGGGGCGCTTCCTTCTGTTTAGGGACCCAAACACTTCCAGAAGACAGCCGTGGTCCCCTACGTAAATTGTACTTCTCCATGGGACTGGAGCTCACAGATGGAGGAATTGCAAACCTCTTTCCCACCCTGATTTCGTCTTTAATGCAACATTACATTAAATGTCATTAAGAAACATCATCAAAGATCCTATCTCTGCTGTCAATTTACAATACTATGAAGTGACCCAGGACAACACAGAAAAGAGTAGCAAACTTTCTTTCTTTTTCTTTTCTTTCTTTTCTTTCTTTCTTTCCTTTCCTTTCTTTTTTCTTTCTCTTTCCTTCTTTCTTTCCTTTCTTTCTCTCCTTCTTTTCTTTTTCTTTCCTTTTCTTTCTTTTTTGCTTTCTTTTCTTTTCTTTTCTTTTCTTTCTTTCTTTTTTTTGTGGAAAGATGTTTGTAAATGTTAAATGCTGTGAAAAGGACAGTAGTGCCTTTTACTGCTCCAGAAGACACCAGTATTTTATTTCTTTTGTGATTGGTATTTTTCTTAAAAAGAAAAAAAAATGAAAGGCAAGAAGGTAAAGAGACAACCCTGAAGCTCTGTCAAATCATGAGCAGAAATTATTCTCTGCAACTGTGTACTGTTCTAGAGGTGGAAAGGAATTTTAAAAGATATGTCATAGTTCCTGCCCTCAAGGGGACTCAACATTCTTGTTGGGAAGACAAGACAAATATATAAGAAGATAGACAAGTTACAGCACCAGAGAAAATTACGGCACTCACAGAAAGATGAGGGACTTACCCAGGGCCTTGAAGACTGGCAGGGGGAAGGAAGCTACGGAAAAGGCATGACGCAAGGGGCCGTGGCTCGCCAGCAGGCAAGAGAAGCCCAGTGTAACTGAGGGCCGGGAGTCCAGTAGGCTGGCAAAGTAGGAGACAGCAGCCAAAGAGAAGACTTGACACCATGCTGGACAGACAGCCTTGAAGGTCAAGTCGAGGAGTTCAGAATTTGTAGACAAAAAAGAACGTTCAGAGAGTTTCACACAATGCAGCATTTGGGAATATTAATGTGTTAAGAGAAGTACAGGACTGATGCGGAGCTAGAAAGCTACTGGAAAAATCCAGATACCAGGTGAAGGAGACCCAGGGAGTAGCAGCACTAATTATTACTAGTTTTACCTGCTAGTTTCATAAAATACAATGAAACTGAGTTGTGCTACCGATGTAACATCAAGATTCTTTCAAAGAATGTTATCGAAATGAAAATCTGGGAGGTGTGTGAAGTTTTTGAAACCTTCCCAAGTAATCCATCCTTTTTATGATAAACATTATGAAGGGGAAAGAAATTTTATTGTTTTTACATTTTACTTAAAAGACTGTGACTTGCAGTTCACTTTCCATATCCAGTCAGTTCTGCATTGTGCTTTCAGACACTGCCCCCGAACCTTCTTTGGCCTACTAAACAGAGATAAATCTAACTTCAAAGGAGTTCATTAATTTCAGGAAAATGAAAATCTTGGCTTAACCTTAAATACTGGAAACTCCCAAAACTTGACAGCAATCCTGTAGACATTCCAGACCCCCTACTGTTCAAAGGCTAATGGATGAGTTCCTAATTAATCATCAGACTTGTAGAAAACGTGTAACAAGTAAAACTTCCCCGATTTTATCAAGCAGTGCATTCCTAGAGGAAGAGCCTCTAAAGAAGTCGGTTTCAGTACCAAGATTTTGAATGAGTGGTAACCAAATGCCTCTAATTCATTATAGATAACTGCCTGGGAAGAGAGACAAATTGTTTAAAACTAATTTTTTTCTATTATTCTTGTGTTAGGGGCATGTCAAGGCTGTGGACCATCCTGGACATGGGGAAGCAGAGCACATTTTATTATCCTGTAGCCATGAAAGCCTCACTGCAATGATTACTCTGTCTGAGCTGTTAAGAACTCTGTTTTTTGTGTTGTTGTTTTTTTTTTTTTTTTAAACAGCTTACTTCTGGAAAACAGAACAAGGTCTTACCAGCCCTAAATTTTCATCCTGTTCCGGTGTTTTGTAGCAACTGCTGTGCATGTGCTATTAAAGCACTGATGTTGTTGCCACCTTCTTTCCAGACTGAAGAAAGTCTTTTAAAAGAGGACATAGCTAAATAAGTGTTTTTTTTCCCCCAACCCATCTGCTTATGAGTGTATGTGACACTCAGGATCACTAATGTGTCTCTGAATCCTGAGAACTCAATAACACATAGACTCTAGACTATTCTCATCTGCAGCACAACTCACACAAGTGAAAATGTTTCTTTGGCCTCCCAGGCTCAAGAGAAATCACTGTTCCCTGTACTGATTCTCATAGCCACAGAGAGAGAAATACTACTCTTCTGGTTCTCTTCCCGTTTAGAGACCAGTGTGTCTATAACCCTTGAACCTTCTATGTCATGGTTTAAGCACAAATTCTCCACAACTCAGATTGGCAACACGTAAAATACAACTCTTTACTGATCCTTTGCCTTAAGGGATGTTGGGTATTGCTTTGGGGAAGACATATAGCAAGACAGAACTGGCCCCTAACATCGTGTATATTAGCCTAAGAACATTGGGATGAATTAATAAGGTAAATGCCTAGGAAGCATAAAATTCACATCCATGTTACACGCTCAATTTTATACTGGGGGGAATGACTTCAAGTTGGAAGTTTTTGTTCTTACAAACATTTATTTTCCTCCAAATTTATTGTGTTTCTATAATGCTGTGAAAAGTCTTCGTTTCCCTGTTCCCAAGTGCTGAAGTTCAAAAAGCAAGCTCTCAACCACAGACTAATCTTCATCTCTTCAATGCCTTGTATGTTGATTTAGCTTCATATGTAAGTATTTATATTAGTTTTCCTCAGGGACTTATACATCTATATATATATATGTATATATATATTCCTACACAGATATATACAAGCTTTTTACCCTCATCTTACCACTTGACAATACAACTTTAAGTATGTTTTACACAGCTGTTCCTTGGTCAAGGTCATTTGCAAGAGCAAGTCGGTTTCTGAAGAAATCTTGTTTGGTGGGTGAAGGATCCATTGAGGGATTCTCATTAGTTTTTTCCCTGTATTCTGATCCACTGGACCTAAAATCTCAGCACACAGATAAAGTACAGGTTGATTTGGTTTTAATTGTTTTCAGATATTTTATCTATCCAAATTGTTTTGCATTTGTAAAACAGTTGCCTCTTAGATCTGGAATAATTTTTACTTCCCCTGAATTTCATGACTCAGGACATGTGTAGCTAAAATTTGCAAAGAACATAAAGAGAATTTCTTTCTAATGCTTTATGGAGACAATTGTGACAACTGTGTATGTTAGTGTAAGATATTATGTGGTAACACTGTAAAAGGGAAGTAAAGGCTCAGAAAATTTAGTAAATCCTATTTTTGTTTCAACCGAGTACTCCACAAATTACCAAGGCCCTTAAATTAAAATGGATGGAATTCATTGGTCTCAACTGAGGTTATCTAACAAGGGCCATCATTGAATTTGGGCATTACATTACAAACTCTTGCTGTTGCTTGTTTTCATTTTTAAATGAAAAATTTATTGAAGCCAACCACACACATATGCTACATTTGGTAGAATTCAGAAATTAGTACAGTAGTCAGATTGAGGAGATTCTATAATCTCAACCACCACAAAGGAGACCAAGCCCAACCAATAGTCAACAACTCAAATCAGTCCAATGGAGTCCCCAGTCGAGGGTGCATTCTTCCTTTATCTTGGTTAAGCCAGTTGGGTAATCCATCCCAGCTCTGCACCTTCTCCAGTTTGTTCATGTCAGAAGTCCCTGGAGGGAGGAGGCTTTCTGGAAATAACCTTTGAAAGGCTAGGCTGGGCCCTTTGGCTAGCTTAAACTCAGAGCTAGAATGGGTAAAACTAGCCCACTGACTGAGAACCAGTATCAAAAGACCTCATGCAGGATGTATGGAAGCGATGTTAGACATGAAATTCTTTGTCCAAAGCGCCTATACAACTGAACAAGTTCTCCATATGCTGAGGCAGAATCAGGCATGCTTCCACTATCCACAAAAGAAAGGTAAGTTCTTTCACTATCATTGGTATGCTACAAGTCCTCACTGTTGTTGTTAGATAAGTTAACTAAGACTCTTATCAGTTACTGAATTAATTGGGCAGAATTCAAACATCCCTTTACATTATTCAAAGAAAGCAGCTGGATCCACACAAAGACTAAAATCCTGATGTCTAGAAATCTGATGACTGAGTGGAGTTTTTTTACTCTTCACCCTGACACTTGGCCTCACAGATGAAGCCAGAGCTGCCCACCATGTTTTCTACTTCCAGTCAGGAAGAAGCACCATCCCACTACATCCCAGGGCATGGAGGAAAAACTATTCTTTCTCACCACACCAGTGCATCTGGGTACTCATCAGGTAAGATAATATCTGGCTGGGGTGAAAGTCCTTTTCCTTTTCAGAAGCCCCCTTGAAACAGCCTTCACGTGCCCCCCCCAAACTCTACACCTTCTCTCAACTCAGAACTCCCAACTACTTCCAGTTCAAATCATCCCTGATTAGTACAGTTGTACCCAAAATGTTAGGAAGATATATTTTTGACCATTTTATTCCTTCCCCATATCTTCTTTTATACAGAAGGCTAGGAATGCTTATAGTTATGGGGGGTGGGAAGTAGGAAGCAAGATTTGAATCTGGCTGGTGTTTCTTCTGAATGTTCCCCCACATGGCAGTTTCTGATCAGAAAGCCATTGGTCAGAACTTAAAATCTTTACCTCTCGTTTCCCCTCTTAGCTACATCTGATCTCTCCAAAACCCAATATGTCACACTTTGATGGTTCCAACATGCAACTGTTTAGCGTTTACCTGGAAATGGGAAAGCTTTGATGTCACCACCAGCCCCAAGGACCACAGAAATCTTCACCAGTTGCGTTCCCATTTCTGAAACAAATGCCAAAATCGCCCTGTCTAGTTTTCAAAGTCCACAAACTCAGCTTAGTATTTTCTTTTTTTAACCGCTCTTCTCACAAACCGCCTTCTCTGTGTCTCCAGGTGTGTGCATTTCTCGATAGTAACTATTAATTAACTAATAGCTAACTTGCTAATCCTTCTCAAAATCCAGCATTCTACGGTAGCCAGAACTATAAGCTTATTTTTACCCTTGTAAAGGTAATTTTAACTGATCTCTTTACATGCTTACATGGTATGTGGTCACTTGGACTCTTCCAAATGTGTGGCTATGAGGCTCTGATGTAATGTGTACCTAAATTACTGGGAAATACCTACAGAATCTAGGAGAAATGGCCAGCGTATTTGCTTTTATTCCCTTTATCTATAAAACAGGAATGGCTTTTGAGCTCCTGGGGCCATTCTGGTTGAATGCAGGGCAGATCTGAGCAGACACTGGAGGGACAGGCAGGCAAACACTTGCTGGCCCAGGGTACAATGGCTGCCAGTACATTGGGACACATAGCCATCCAAGTGTTTGATGGAAAGAGAACAACCTGTTGCTAAGTTCCCTTCCACTCAGTCCACACAAAGAAAATAACAAGCTGGGTACATTATACAAGTACAGATTTGCTACAAATAAGCCTTGAAAGTTTGCCTGGAGCTTGGAAAGGGAGGAGGGGTAGAATCCAGTGCCTTGGAACCCTCTGACCTAAGAAGGGCTGGTTTTCTGATTGGAAAGATTGTTCACTGTGAACAATCTTCCATGCTTCCATGCTTTAGGAGCACATGGAAAAGTAAGGGAGCAGGGGAACACCATCCTGTCAGCCAAATGAGTCAGCCCTAGTAATCAACAGGGTAACACAATGAGCACTCATTTAATATGTCTTTTGAGTGCTTAATATCCTCTAGGTACTGAACCTTCAGCTAGGTTACCCTTACATCTGAACTGTAAGCTTCTAATGGGCGAGAACTATTTCTTTTACTTCTTTTGTGCTGGACAGAACCTAGTACACTGACTTAGTGATTGATTTCAAATGACCTATTAAGAAAAATTTGTAATGAGGTTTAAGTAATCTAAAATGTTATGCCTTTAATCACCTCCTTCAATTTTAAAGTTATGTAGGGAAATGAGATGGGAAATGAGAGAGAAACCCACAGTGGGTAAGAATAGGAGAAGGACTTGAGATAGGCTTTGAGGAGGCAAAGAAGAAGGTGAGGGTAAAATTATCAATTAAATCTTTAGGAGTCCTGCTTTCAATGACATGATCTTTTCCACTGCCCAGGTTGGGCATATACTAAAACAACTGATAAGTCACCAAAAGAAGAGAATTCACTGACGTTCAATTAAATGGGGGTGCTGTAGAATTAAATGTGTGTGTGTGCGCGTGTGCATGATTAATGGATTTTGATGTGATTGGTGCAGGGAGGAGACACTGAGGTATGTAAGTTATAAAGTGTTAAAGAGGAAGGGAATGGGTAAGGAAGGAGAATTAGTCATTTGGAAGCCATATTCTTTTTCTTCTACTCTCCCAAATTTGCAGATAAAAAGAGCATCTACATTCTACCCCTAAACTGCCTTATATAATCCTCTTCCTCCATGCCACACCCCTAACCAAGAATACTTACTAAAGTAAGTGCAGGATTTATATATAAAGTAGCATTTGCCTCACACTTCAGAATAGGCTAGGTATAAGTCTTTGACAGCCTCCATGTACAGCCTTCTAGAATGGAGTTTGCCTTACTCCCTGATCAAACGCAGGGAAATAAGGATTCAGTGCAGCATTAGCCTATCACATTAGGTCTGTTTCTGGCTTCTAAGGATCTGCATTAAAGAATTTTAAAGTCACTTAACATTTTCAAGCTTTAGATACGTATAGTCTTTATGCTGATCAATTCTGGGCAGCTTTCAGGGACATGTGACCTGGTATCTACCCAGGACAAATGTGCCTGAGATAGAAATAATCAGAGCATCATTCTTTTCCCCAAATATCTTGGGTGTTTTTCAGGATTTTTTTTTTAATGATGTCAACTTGACTCTCCCTTTTGAATCCTTGTGGGTATGAGCATTCATTCGGCCCTCCCAGCCTCAGAGGGAAGAGAACCCTTTCTCAGGTTTTCTGTTGCATCTGGCTCCATGCCTAGCTTCATCCCGAAGCAGCATTCTGGGTGTGTGGGGCCACCAGCCAAACAAGCCCCTATGGATACAAAAAGTGTGTCAGTGTAGACAGGAATGAGCCTCCAGAGGGCTGTGGGAGAGGCAGGCAGCGAGCCCCAGGTGTGACACAGGTGGCTTTTCTGGCACTAGTCCATTTTGGACCTCTGAGGCCAGGTTCTCGCACGGTTTTGGTACCCAGGATTAACCACTTCTTAAAGTCACAGGGCTTGCTGCCAGCCTGACCTCCCAACACATGGGAGGAGAATAAGCTAAATGTCTCGTTCCGGTTCCTCCCTGTACCTGTCCACATGCCTGACTTCAGAGTGCAAGCTCCTATACAGCAGCTGGGACTGTGTCGTTCGCGATTCCTATACAAGCGTCTCATACAGTACGTGCATGTAAGAAAGAATGCTTAACTACTGAGAAGAATGGTGTGTTCTCATCTGAATTAAGAGTCACTGACCTTTCTGTGCTACACTGGGACCTTCCTGCCCTTCCTCTCCACCTTAGCATAATGGAGCAAACTTCCCCACGGCTCTTCTTGAGAACACTCAGGAGAAGGTACTCAAGCTGCTTCTCTATCCTGTGCAGAGTCCCAGAGCGCACGCTGTGGCACCGTGCACGCAGGCGATAAGCAAGTATCACCTGGTGGTGCTCACAGTCCAACCCCAGATGTTCAAAGCCAGGAAAGCCTGCCGGAGGGAAGAGCCATCTGTGTGGTACCCCCCTTTACTTCCATTCAGGTAACGCTTCAGATTTTAAATACAAAGGCAGCAGCACGATTGGTGGCAGTATTGTGATTGATGCAGGAGAGACTGATCTATGAGAAAGGATGAGAAGGCTAAGGGGATCCATTTAACCCTCTAAGAAGAAGGATCCCCCAAAGGTACAAGAAGACAGAAAGCAATCGACCAACATGAATTTGGAGAGTCCACAGCTAGTCCTCAGCATTGTGCCAAGGGAGGTGGGGGGCTACAGAAAGATAAAATCAGGTCTTCCACATGGTGAGTCTTTAAAATTATAGGTCCCAACGCCATATTAATTTCTTGTTCCAGGTGTTAAAAAGATGTGATTACTCAGATTGATCTAAAACAAAGCCAACAAAGCAAATCTCAGCACTAGGAAGAACTCAGGTGCTTATCTTGGGCAATCTCCCACTTAGTGTAGGAATCCCTTCCGTTAGCACCCCTGAGGAGGGCCACCGTCTTCTACTCAGGAGAACCCACACCCTCATGAGGGAGCCAGCTCCGGATTCAGGCACCTCTTACCCATTTCTCCTAGTTCTGCCCCCTGGATACACAGAGGACAAGTCTACTCCCTCTGCCTCAAGTACCGGCAGAGCATTTTCTAACATCTCTCTGAAAAAAGGAAATTTGCGAATCCATGGCTCATTGCTTTCCAACAGACAGTACCCACTCATTATAAATGTCAGTGGGCAAAAAGTGGCTGTTTGTTTTGGGAATACTGTGGTTTTAAAAAAGAGATAGGCTCAAGCAGTGCCTATCTTAGGAGTCCTTAGAAGGATTTAGGGGCCTAAATCCCAAGGTCAGGCTGGAGAGTTGTCTCCTTCCAGGTCTCTCCACCCCGGCCAAACATGATAGAAACAGGCACTGGGCCGAGAAAAATCTGTCTATGAACCTAAAGAGAGGGATACAAGTCTTAACTCCTCACCCCTTGCATAAAGGGATCTAGCAACAGGCATGCACCGGACTACCTCAGCAGAAATTAGCTGTGTCTAATTGCAATACTGTTGCTCTCTTCCTCTTTCTCATTCTTCCAGTAATAACAGGCAGGGATCCTCAGTCAGAGATCCACTAATCTCAGTACCACCCTCCCCATAGGAGAAAAATTAGACAAACCATGAAAAAAAGTTCTTACTCCAGGCCTGTCCTCAACTCTTCCATCAAAACTGTTATCTAAATCAGCCAGTAAATTCTACCCTCAAGGATAAAGTGATTTCCCTGTACTTCCTCACTTATCAGCAAGTCTCTAAAGGCAGCAATATACTTTCCCATCCACTAAATGTTTAAAACTGACTGCAAGAACCACCTCTATCAAGAGAAACTAAGTAAGGGTGAAATCTCTCTAAAGGGGGGGGGGGGGGGGCCTCAGGCCCAGTGGAGATAGAGACAGTAGTCTCTCAGGCAGACAATGGCAGGACTGGACAATCCCTCTAAGGTCAAACTCTAAATGCTCAGATCTCTCTTCCTTACATTTCATGCTGGGGTTTGGCCACCTTCTCCCAGTCTGTAAGACAGTGCTGGTAAGTGCTGGCCAAAATGCCTGGTGGGTGATTTCATACAACAAGAACTTAGAATCTTAGAAGGACCACAGAAGGGAAATGTCTTGTTTTTGCCTCCTATGGAGTATGGAAGCTCCATTAAAGTGATTTTTTAACTAGGGCCCAAACCAAATTCATTCTATCATTTCTGCTAGGGAAAACACTAGCAGAAGTCCCAATAAACATGTACTAGCATCCAGGATAACTATAGACTCCTACAGGCAGAAGTGCTGAGATCCCTTGGAAAACTTTCCACAGGTGGGGAGATTCGCATGGAACCTCCCATTACACCCAACCCCACGCCTCCCAGTCTAAAAGGGATTTGATTGTCACCAGCTCATTACCCAGGGGACCTCCTCTGCTTACTCTCCTCAGACACATGACTTGGGAACAAGGAAGTAGAGCCAAAAGATAGAAGAGGCAGAGGACAGGGCTGAGTTTGCTTTTACTCTAGGAGATGACAATGAGAAACATCCTGACCTGGCAGGAATCATGGCTACTGGCTGCAGGCACTGAGCTTGAAGCAGTTGAACCAGGCTACTTGAAACTTATTACTGTTAAAACCTCAAGATTTAGCCCAAAGGGAAAGGAGTTATGATGCTGTCTTGTCTAAGGGCTACTCACTTCTTTTTAAAGAGCTTGCGGAAGGAGCTGCGAAAGCCCCCTTTCTGGTCTTGCCTGGGGTTTTGATCGCTGAAAGAGGTCTGTTCGCTCTCTCTTTCTTCCTTTGGACAGAATCTGGTGGTATCTTCTAAATGCATCTCCTGAAAACACAAAAGAGGGGTGTTTATTTACTCTTTTCCAAAGCTAATATCATCCTGACTGGGACAATTTTTTTACCTTCTGTCACTCTCCTCTCCCACCCCAACGCACTAATGGTGAGCACCCTATTCCAACTAAAGCAAACCTAGGCTAATTAAGAAATCAGAAGTTGAGGGGTGCCTGGGTGCCTCAGTTGGGTAAGCGTCTGACTCTTGATTTCTGCTCAGGTCATGATCTCACAGTCGTGAGATTGAGCCCCATCAGGCTCTTCACTAAGCATGGAGCCTGCTAGGGATTCTCTCTCTCCCTCTCCCGCTTCCCGTTCCCTGCTTGCACATGCGTGCCTACTCTCCCTCACTCTAAGTAAATAAATAAACATTAAAAAAAATAATAAATCAGAAGCTAAACAGAGGACAATTTTCTGCTGAGTGCAGAAATAATTTGTATGTATCAAGGCAAACAGTCTTAGAGTAGGATTATCCTATAACAATAAAGATGAGGACATAAAGGAAGTTAGCAAGTATCTAGACTATGGAGAATAACTTCTTATTCTGGCACCAATACCGTTCTGCTGGAAAACAAGTAGTGGTCCCCCCACATCTCTGCATATGTTTCTCTTTCCACAAAATAAGGCAGTTTCTTGATTGTAATGTTAGTTTTAAACTCATGTTCCTGACTCTCCTAGACATAAATGAGGGAAGGAGGCTTTGAGAGGTCAGATCTGTTTAGAAGTAAATGGCAACTATGTATATCTGGGCATGTACGTGCAAGTGTCTGTGTGCATGCCACACATTTTCAACCTGCAAATACACCTTTAATACGGTTTTTATAATTCTTAGTCCGTGGTATTTGGCATGCGAAGTAAAAATAAATAAAAAAGAAGGCTCTATCTCCTGTGAACTTTCTAGTTTCTTTTTAAACGTGAGGTGTGCTAGGGGTGCCTCCGTGGCTCAGTCTGTTAAGTGTCTGACTTCGGCTCAGGTCATGATCTTGTGGTTCATGAGTTCAGGCCCTGCGTTGCGCTCTGTGCTGACAGCTCAGAGCCTGGAGCCTGTTTCAGATTCTGTGTCTTCCTCACCCGCTGCCCCTCCCCTGCTCATGCTCTGTCTCTCTTTCTCTCTCTCTCTCTCTCTCAAAAATAAATATTTCTAAATAAATAAATAAATAAATAAATAAATAAATAAATAAGATGTGCTAAATAAAAAATGCACTTATATTTATGTTCCATATGAACAAAATATTTACTATGAGGGTGACTGAAACTTAAAAGTAACCAAAAATAGCTGCTTAATTTTGAACGTGAGAACCCAAGAAGTCAAAGCAAACACTACCCGAAACTTTCATAAACTGGATGGGTGACTGCTTGCTGACAGTGAAGTGAAGCATGGGGATTTTTTTCTTTTTTTTCAGGAAACATGGGTTTGACTTTGAGAACTTAACGTGGGGTTGTAGTAGCAGATCTAGAGATTCTCTGGACTCTACTAAGAGTCATAACTAAACTATGGAGAGCAATATCTTGATGGCTTACTGTTTTTCAAAGTGTGGTCCTGGAGCAAGAGAATCAACTGGAGCTTCTATTTACAATGTAGGTCCCTGGGGGACCTGGGGGGCTCAGTTGGTTGAGCAGTCAAGCATCAGACTCTTGATTTCTGCTCAGGTCATGATCTCATGGTTCATGAGATCGAGCACCACAGAGGGCTGCACACTGACTGCGGACCCTGCTTGGAAATCTCTCTCTCTCCCTCTCTCTCTACTCCCTCCCACCTCTCTCTCTGTCTCTCTGTCTCTGTCTCTCTCTCTCTGTGTCTCAAAATAAATAAACTTAAAAAATAAAACATAAAATGTAGATCCCTGAGCCCCACCCAGACTTTCTGAATCAGAAACTCTGGAGTTAGGTCTAGGTAATCCTTATGCACACTTAGATTTTAAAAATCAGTGGTTTGAGTTATCCTCCTGCCCACCTGTACTTAATGTTTGTATGTCACCCCGGGGAAGCTTGCTAAAATGCAGAATCTGATTCAGTAGGTCTGGGGCAGGGCTCAAATTCTGCAATTACAATTAAGCTCCCAGGTAATGAACTACTAGCCCAAGGATCACACTTTGAAAACTGGGCTTTTAGGGACTATTTAGGAACTACATATATTAAGTCTAAGGAAAATCTCTCTGTGCAATCATGATCTTGATTATATCTTGCATTTATATAGCATCCCAGACTTTACCAAAGCATTCTCACATACTGTATCTTTCTTGGCCTGACCCTACAACAACCCTGTGAGTTAAGTAAGGTATATATTGGCTTATTTTTACAGATGAGAAAACTGGAGGCACAGAGATGCCAAGTGAATTGTCCAAAAGCACAGAGCTATTTGTCAGCAGAGCCGGGACTAGAACCCAGATCTCCTGACACCTAGTCAGGTGCTCTTTGCACTAAATCATGTTGCTTTCTCTCCTGACTCTGAGACACAGGGTTTGGCTGGTTCCGCAGGACAGGGGTGGAAGATACACAGAGTATATTTAAGGAGATGGAACAGTAAGAGCTTTATACATCTCAGGGGCGCCTGGGTGGCGCAGTCGGTTAAGCGTCCGACTTCAGCCAGGTCACGATCTCGCGGTCCGTGAGTTCGAGCCCCGCGTCAGGCTCTGGGCTGATGGCTCAGAGCCTGGAGCCTGTTTCGGATTCTGTGTCTCCCTCTCTCTCTGCCCCTCCCCCGTTCATGCTCTGTCTCTCTCTGTCCCAAAAATAAATAAACGTTGAAAAAAAAAATTAAGAGCTTTATACATCTCAGCAGGAAAGAGCTGACACCGTTAAAGACACGGCTTTTGAATGGTTCATCTTTTGCCAACTAAAACCCTATCTCACTTTCACCTCAAAAACACTCACACTCACATGCACACACATACACATATATACACAAACATAGATGTACCCTATACACACATGCATGTACATCCCCACCCATACACACGTGCACACACATAGACCCACAGACACACACAGCCTCGGCCCACCTGGACTTTGCATTCTGCCTCTCTCTAGGATTCCTAATGATCCACACCTTCTGGATTTTTAGAAAGAAAAATTTTGTCCAAAAATGGAAATAATAAGGTGAACTTTGTGTGAAAACCTCACATGCTTGGCAAATTTAGTGATAACCGTAAGAGAAAAGGCCTGTTTTAATTGATCTCTGTTTGATATCTCCTAGTGTCACTTTCTGAACTGACTTGACTCATGTCTGACACTGTTAAGGAATGAAACTTGCTGTCTAGTATGTGTGGTTAATAGTCCCTGATATATTGTTTAGTATTATCTGGTATGCCTGATAAACAGCCACAAATATTTTACTTACTGTTTGCTTCTCGGGAATATTGTTATCTCTGATTAATGGGTTTTTTTTTTTTCCTGTCAATTGTTGAACTCCCATTTTTCCACATATTAAATAGGGGGATAAAAGATACTTCTATGAACATGTGAAAAGCATTCTTTGCAGCTTAGACTATACTACTTAGAAGGTTCTGTATGTAAATCTTTGCCCATCCCAAGTCACTTTGAATTGGCATTATTATTTCCTATCTCCTTCCCTTGTTGATGAACTTTTAAAGTTCAACACATATCCAAGATTGGGTTGTCTAAGAAATTTTGCCTAATAGAATTTTGTAACGCTCAGAGTTGAAAATCAGAGCCCCCACAAAAAACAAAACAAAACAAAACAAAAAACTCTGGGAACCCTGGGGGAATCCCAGCAATTTTAGCTGAGCATAGGAAGGTCCCTCTGCAGAAACCAGTCGGACTTGGATTCCTGGAGTCCAGATCAGCTACAAGTTCCAAGGTTCTTCACAACCCAGTCCCTTCCTGTTCCTGTGGCCTGTCACATTTGTTCATATTTCCCTATCTCACTCATCATCTAGGCAGTTTTTAAAACTGAATTCAGACATTCAGTTTATCCAGGAGGCCCTCTCTGACCATCATCACCCCAGGAAGGTTTAAATACCCCTCCCCTGTGTTCCCACAGTTTATTATAATTCTGTGTTTCTGTGTTTCCTCCCTGCAATAAGCCAGTGGTCCTGGAGGTCAGAGACTAGGCACCATTCATTTCTGAACCCTCAGCACTTAGGACAGAGCCCAGTGGGAGGCAGGTGCTCCGTGTCTGCTGAAAAATGAATGAATGAAAGGAGTCAGTGATCCTCACTCTGTCCCCACTCACTTGGAAATAGGAATAGGTGTACAGGGCCCTTATTCCTGGAACACCCGCAGCCTCAGCCTAGGCAAAGGATCTCCAGCGCTTGATACAAATGATACTTAATGCAGGTAAAGTTAGTTCTGGACTATATCATTTTCAAGATGTACCAATACAGAGCTGCCCTGTAAACCCTAACCACCATTTCTAAAGTGATGTTGAAGGGGAAGGATGGTGGCAGAGGTCAAAGCTATCCAGCTACTCTCTGCTTAATCAGAAATTGCGTTATTCTAATCACATGCTGAGAAATTAAGTGTTTGCTCAGGAACTACTAGACCTTTCATGGGTAAGTATTTAAACACCTCTTTAAATGTCCCAAGGCTTGCAGACAGCAAGGTTAGACATCAAAATACTGAACAATGATATGGACGCTAAAGAAGGTACTTGTGAGTCAATGTGTCCTTGACTATTTTGTTGTCCCCATCCCAGTGGAGTCTGCAAAGCAGTGTAACACCCTTTCCCAGGCACAAGGTAAGCAAGCAGAAATGAACTTCGCTTTGCCGCTGACTTTGCAGGGAGTCCACTGTGAGATGGAGCCACCTGACTCTTCCCTAGCTACGAGCAAGTAGCTACTAGCTAGTGCGTGTCGAGGAGTGGAGCAGGCTGGCACACCGTGTTGGGTTTTAAACGCCTCAACAAGAAGGTGCGCCTAGCGGGCAGAGGAAGAAACGAGCCTGGGACTTGCGTGCAGGTCTTTAAAAGTGAAGTGCAACTGTGAAGTGCCACAGCTTAAGCAGCGAGGCAGAGGACACGCCTAACTCTTGGAGGGGGCGGGAGGGGGGCGGTGTAAGCAGGTCTAACAGTCCGTCTGTCCTGCTGGCTCTTTGCCGTCATACATACACATGTAGAACACGCCCTCGTGCCCTGGCACTGCAGAACGGGCGCTACCGCTCGCCTCCGGGGGCATCTGAGGGGGCAAACCTCCGATCTGGGCTCTCCCTCGACGGCCTCCGCTCCCCCTCTGGCCAGCCCGCTTTCCCCTCCACGCTAGGGGAGCCCAGGCTGCTCCCTGGAGATCTAGGCCCGGGGCTGCCGGCGCTGTGGGTCTGGGTTCGGTTTTACTTTACCCTCCTTACTTCCAAATAGGTCTGCTTTTCGCTTTGGGACCTCTGTTGGGGGAAGAAGGTCCTGGGCGCGCCGCGGGCTGCGGCCGC